CATTCAATAATACATAGAGAATATACCTTTGTAGATCATCAAGGATAACTCCCATTTCAACTTCTATGACTTTTTACCTTGATGGACTACACTTTCTTCTGCAAAATTATCTAGTTTTTGGCTTCATAACACCATCATATTTTGGATTCTTGGCTTTCTCGTTGCCTAATGTGTGTGTGTTGTGTTGTTTTCTTATGTTGAATCTCCTTCTTGTTCTCTCATTGTGGAAGACCCAGTTCTGGACTTTCTGATCTGTGGGTTATGATCTCTCTCTTGAAAATGCATCTCAAGGCCTCAACTGTAACACTGGGTGACTATTCACCCTTGATGTTCAGTTCTATACGAAAAATTCTCTTTAGACAGATGTCTTTGTAGCATCTTAAAGTAAACATAATCTCTGTTCTTATCATTTCTGGATTGGATCTGTTTTTTAAATTTTTAATCTGTTCTGAAACCTAAAGCTCAAGGGAGTGTCATTGCTCTCCTTTCTAGTAACTCACCAACATTCTGTATACTCTTTTTTTTCTCTTTCTCATTTTCTTTTACAATTTCTCCCACCCTTGTTGGGCTTCTGATGAGTTTTGTTATAATTGCCCTCAGTTTGCAATCTAGTTTGTTCATGTAGAAATTACTAAATTTCTAAATCTCTGCTATCAGAATTTGTCTTGGGAATGTTTCTTCTGTGTGTCCTCAGTGGTCCTACACAATCCAATCCAATGTGTTTCTGAATACAACTGCGTGCTTTCTTGCTACGAGGCCATCACTAGAACTAGTTAGAAATATAAAGAAGCTTCAAAAAATTCATGGAAAAATTGAACCCAAAGATAATAGAATTTTCCCACAAATTTTTGGAAGCCTCATCATATTTCATGTTAAATAGGAGTCTTGTAAATAGGTAAACATTCAAAGAATATGAGAGGGTAGCACACCCCCCCCCCGAAAAAACCAGCATTTTCCCCCTTTCTTTCCAAGCACGCTGTATATTTAATTTTTTTTACAAAACAAACCTCATCACCATTACACTTAATACACTGCCAAATCTGTGATTCCATTCTTGGAAACATTTTTCAAATGCATCTGTTTGCATGGCTGACAGCACCTCCCTCATTTTTTTCTTCACCTCTTCTATGGTGTCAAATCGCTGTCCTTTCATGTCCCTCTTCATTTGTGGAAACTAAAAAAAGTTGCACAGAGTGAGCTCAGGTGAGTAAGGTGCGTGGGTTCAGAGAGGCATGCTGTTTTTGCCCCAAACTGGCACACTGAGATGGCTGTATCAGCAGGCAGGTACATTGTTCTGGTGGCAAAACCAATCC